CCGACCTGTTGAACCGACCTGTTGAACCGACCTGTTGAACCGACCTGTTGAGCCGACCTGTTGAACCGACCTGTTGAACCGACCTGTTGAACCGACCTGTTGAACCAACCTGTTGAACCGACCTGTTGAACCGACCTGTTGAACCGACCTGTTGAACCGACCTGTTGAACCGACCTGTTGAGCCGACCTGTTGAACCAACCTGTTGAACCGACCTGTTGAACCGACCTGTTGAGCCGACCTGTTGAACCAACCTGTTGAACCAACCTGTTGAACCAATCTGTTGAACCAACCTGTTCCCCCGCTCGCCTGTGGGGGCGCTGCACCAAGAACTACTGAAAGAAACGACACAAAAACCTCTGAAGACACGTCTTCTTCTTCTTCTGTAAATAAAAATAAAAACAAAGTGGCATCAAGTTTTATCAGTTTTAGGAGTTATATTTAGTCATTTTTCAACAATGGACTCAGCATGAGCAGAAGATGAGACAGAAGACCATGGAGAATATTGTTCTTCACACAAGTCAGCTGACGGCTCCATATGAGAGAAATGTGTGTTTGTTTGTCCTGTGGAGCGGGTCCGGTCTGTTTACATTCACACTGTACTGGAACCGTGCTGGAGTTCTCTTCTACTGGACCCAGACCTAGGTTTTAGCCCGGGTCAGAGTTCGATGGTGCGTTCACACCTCCCTAAACGAACCGGACTTTCTAGGAAAACGAGCTAGAGTTGGATTAAAGCGACTAAACAGGGCTGCTGTGAATGCAACCTAAGGGACAGCTCAGGAAACCCAAGCCGACCCTAACTATAGGATTTATCAAAATGGAAAGTCTTAATCCTAGTTTTAAAACTGGATAATGTGTCAGCCTCACGGACAGAAACTGGAAGTTGGTTCCACAAGAGAGGAGCCTGAGAACTGAAGGATCTGCCTCCCATTCTGCTGACGACCTTCCCTCGGCAGGTTTGTTGTGGAGGTGGAATCTTATGAAACGTGGTGACATTAGTTGTTGCAGCAGGGTTGCTGCAGTCTTCTTGTGTGAGGCTGAAATGTGAAGAAAGAAAAGCTCCTGGCTGTTCTCTTTTTGTTGGTGGAGCTCGTCTTTAACCTTCATAGAACCATAAACTCCCACCAGTCCACACGTTGTGTGGTACAGAGGCTGAGGTGAAGTTGGGCCTGTTTCCACCCATCAAACCCTTTTTCAAACCCACAGATCGCTTTGGCTGCGATTTGTTGTTTCATGAGACGATTCGGCCGAACGTTGGCTGCTGGACCGTAGCATGAACCACAACCGTTCAGTCCATATTTTGTTCCGGTTCATAGATTTGTGTTCCTTCATCACTCGTTCTGTTGAACCTGTGGCAGGTTCTGGTTCTGCTTCTGCTCTTGGATCGTGTCCTGACAGAACTCCAACTTAATGTGTCTGAGTTTCTTCTTGTTGCAGGTGTTCCCTCGGTGCTGCTGGACGAGCTCTCAGCTTCCTGCCCGTCAGAGCAGCTCAGGGTTTTGTTCCGTCATAACGCCATCGTCCGGCCCGGTTCTGGTCCAGCACCAGCCAGCAGACGAGCTGCTCGGGTACGAACAGCTACTTGTTGCTAACATGTCGGTTTTCATCGTTGCTCAGATGGATTCAAATCTGTGAACTGGGGTTTTACCAGGAAGGAGGTGAACAAACTGACTTTCCTGTTGGATTTACATTTTTTCACATTTTCACAGTCGGATAGTTTAGAAACTCAAAACCTCCTGAGTCAAAATGTTTTCACGAGGATCTGACAGAAAAATTAGTCTTGAAACCAAAACCCGATTTAACAATGTTTATTCAGGTCATCTGGATGGTTGATTTTGTTGCTGAGACGTTTTGTCCTTCATCCAAATGACTTCTTCAGTTGGAGGAGGCACCAAACTGAGTCCCACAAACAGGACACTCCCAGAGTGGAAAAAACCAGTTTCCTGTTTGTGGGACTCAGTTTGGTGCCTCCT